TTTTTATATCGATTTTCTATATAACCTCTTATGGTATTTAATGATTGGTTTTTTTACTCTAGTGACACTAGTGATATTTATGCATTTATTCATTTAATAATACTTAAATATTATAAATAAAAGTTATACAAAAATTGTCAATATACCATTTCTCTTATATTACCATTATGTATTTTCAAAACAATTAATTTAAAAGTTGTTTGGATTATATTTTTATATAATTGATACTTGATAATTAATATATGACAATTAATAATAATTATTATTTGTAATTAAAAATTTTAATTTATTTAATTAAAATTAACAATCAATAACTATTTGTAAAAAATTAAAATAAACACCCTTTTAACCTTTTACTATGTAAATGACTTATGATGTATATAATTTAGTTGATTTTATTAGTCTAATGTCTTTTTCCCTTACCCATCTTGGTGTGATATTTGAAACCATAATTTTATAAACTGATTTCATATTAATATTAATCATTTTATTAATTATCAATTATTAATTAATAATTTATTAATCTAAATGAAAAAAATTTTATTTTTCATAAATAAGGTTTTGAACTCGAATTTGAGTTTTATAAATATAAAAATAAGCGTAATCATTTTATTAATTATCAATTATTAATTAATAATTTATTAATCTAAATGAAAGAAATTTTGTTTTTCTTAAATAAGGTTTTGAACTCGAATTTGAATTTTATAAATATAAAAATAGACGTCAAAAGAACTTTCTTTTAATAAGATTTGACGTGATTTAATTTTAAATTAATTAAATTTAATATGATTACTAGATAAAATAGTAAAAAAAAATTATCAGTTATTACTAGTAGTTCAACGTTATCAACTACTCTAACAGCCGAACCAAACATGATCATTGTATACTTACAATGCTGACCCGTAACTTTTCTAAATGTTTGCACCCACCAATAAGCTGGTGATCCAAGTTTAAAAAATTTAGTTTTTTTTTTTTTTAAGTAAAATTTCAAATTTAAGTTATATAAATTGAGAAATAAGTATCGAAAATTTTTTTTTTTTATGGCATCCAATATGATTCGGTGTTGAATTAATTAGAAATCACCATGATTACCATATATTTAGAGGTTAATAAAAAAAAAAAAAATGTCCGCACCTGTTTGGCGTTTCATTTGTTCATAAATGCGCTCACCACTTTAGTTGTCGTGGTTCTACCAAGTAGCCCAGCTCCGCTCCCTTTGGCATCTCCTGGAGCAATACTCCGTAAACCACAGTCCGCCTCGCCGTTAATCCGGTAACGTCACTCCCCTCATCTCCGAGACCAACCGCCGTCATCATAGTCAACGGGCAGGCCTTTGAACACGCCAGAAACTTCCTTACAACCTACGAGCTCGCGACACGTGTTTTTCGTCCATCGTGGGACCCAATTAACAGATCTTACGTCTCGCAATTTCTGAAAAAAAAAAGAAAACCACCAATCATATGCTTACATCGTAATCGCCGGAGACACTCCCGGCCCCTATGTAGTATCGCCGGTCACTGGTGCTTAGGGCCTTGAAGAAGGGTTTAATGATTGTTTCAGAGTTTGTAGTTCGGGTTTCATTCTTCATTGATGAAAAATCCGGCCCTGACGGGGAGGTGTATTTATTTATAGATCTCCGATTCTGATCTGATAAATGTCGCTTTTCCGCCGGAGGAAGGGAGCGGCCCCCTCCAAGACTCCGACCAAAGATTCACACACTGAAGACGAAGATGAAAAGAAAGGGAAGAGTAAAGGAAAGCAAAACGGAGATGATAAATCCGCCATTAACAAGAAGAGTGGCAGCAGGAGATGCGCGTGTCTTGATGGTTGTTTCTGGTTTGTGGGATTCATATGTTGTATCTGGTGGTTCTTGTTGTTTCTGATCAACGCGATACCCGCTTCGATCCCTCAGTACGTGACGGAGGCTATAACGGGGCCGCTGCCGGACGCGCCCGGCGTGAAATTGAGAAAGGAGGGCCTGATGGCAAAGCACCCGGTAGTGTTTGTGCCAGGGATCGTAACTGGGGGGCTCGAGCTCTGGGAGGGGCGACAGTGTGCTGATGGCTTGTTCAGAAAGCGGTTCTGGGGTGGCTCGTTTGGGGAGCTGTACAAAAGGTAATTGCCCTATTTGGATTTTTGAGGTTTACTCTGTTTGCCTTGTTCTTGTGGGAATGTTCGCACTTTTGAGGATGGCGGCATACCGGGAAAGTGGTCTTTGAGCAATGTGAAAGCTTTTCTGCTCTTTTGCTTAAAGATGAGCTTGCTTGACTCTCACGAATTTGCATATGAATTTGATTGTCTTTCTTTCCCCTCAGCTTTCTTTAAAAGGAGGAACTTTTTTTTTTTCCTCTGCAAATCTCATACCTTTGTTTCATGTTTGTTGGTTTGGTTTAAACTTTAGTGTCTGATTGTGGGATTATATAAGGCTATAAGTAGGTAATCCTTTTTGTTGCTCATTTGTTTTAGGAAGTTTTATAAGGTAGTTGATCTTGTGAGTGACTTGCATAACGCATGCTAATGCAAATTGGTGAATTGTGACCGTTTGGTCTATCTGGTTTATGTCAAGCATGATTTTTGACCAAGCGTGGCAAAAATTACTAAATTATTAATAGGTCGCTTTAAGAGTGCATAGATTAATTTTGTGAAGCTTTTCTATAGATGGAAAAATTCAAGCTTGGTTTCTTGAATCTGGCATATTCTCATAGAGTCATACATTCAAATTTTAGTTTGAAAAAGTAAAATAATTGATAGAAGAGAGGGCATCTGATGTATATATATCTGGAGTTTATTGAGGAATTTATGTTCTTGAAAGCCTTTCTCATTGAGTTCTTAGAGTTTGTATCTTACTGCTAGTTGATGACTTTATATGTGGTTTTGCTCAAATTGTGTCATTTTGCTCAAACTATTCAGTTTATTGTTTAGGTGAAGTTTTATGATTAACCTTCAATGTAGGAAAGCTGGTGAAATCATCAAATGGAGAAAATTTAAGTTGGCTGATGATAGAATACTTTTCAATGTCAAATTATTATCAAGAATCTTTATGGAAAATGTTTATCCTTATCACCAACTGTGAGCCTACTTAAACTGCTCTTTGGGTGTTTAGTGAATCTAAAGCACCTTACACCTTGCAACTTGGGTTCAACTTATCATCACTTGTTGGCTAGTTGAACTGTTGCTTTTGGTTTCCTGGCACTTTAATTCTATATTTGAGGCATTGTGGGAGTTTGTAACTTTTGGGTACCTGTAGAACTGAAGAAGATTAACCTTTTTTTTTCATGAGTTATGTCACTATTTTTCCCTTATTTTTGAAGAACATATAGGTTTTGTTAACTTATATTGAAGAAGATTAATTTCTAATCTTAGATAAATTACTTACAATAAAGGGAGAGGAAAGTGCTCTCTTAGATTTTGTATTGCCATTAGAACTGAAGAAGTTTCACTTCTAACTAGATGAAACTACATTTGAAAGTTGTCCATGAAACTTAATAGTTAAGATTGCTTTTCCTCCTTCTCTGTTTCTTTTCCTTGCAGACCATTATGTTGGGTCGAGCACATATCACTGGACAATGAAACTGGGCTTGACCCTCCTGGTATAAGAGTCAGGCCGGTATCAGGACTTGTAGCAGCTGATTACTTTGCACCGGGTTATTTTGTCTGGGCTGTCTTAATTGCTAATTTGGCTCACATTGGGTATGAGGAGAAAACAATGTATATGGCTGCATATGATTGGAGATTATCTTTCCAGAACACAGAGGTATAATTTTGCTTCGTTTCTTCACTTTCCTTGAGTTATTTCCACTAACTATTTTATTACTGATACAAGTATTCACATGTTTCTCTTTAGTATTTTCTGCTGTTTCAGTTTTCTGTTCTACTATCGAATGTGTAATATATTTTCCTCAAATTATCATACAAATTTCTGACTAACATAATTTTTCAGGTGAGGGACCAGACTTTGAGCAGGATAAAAAGTAACATAGAACTCATGGTAGCTACAAATGGTGGTAGAAAGGTGGTTGTTATTCCACATTCAATGGGTGTCCTGTACTTTCTGCACTTCATGAAATGGGTTGAGGCACCAGCTCCAATGGGTGGTGGAGGTGGATCAGATTGGTGTGCCAAGCATATAAAGGCAGTAATGAACATTGGTGGACCCTTTTTAGGTGTTCCAAAAGTTGTCTCGGGACTGTTCTCTGTTGAAGCCAGGGATATTGCTGTTGCCAGGTATCTGTTTGAAACAATTATTATATTGGCTTTGTTGTTATCTTGTTTTGAGCTTTCTTGTTTCTACTGCTCTGTGATCTAAGTTCATTTTTGGTATGGATTTTCTGATGCCGTTGACTACCCAGAATTTCTTCTGTAGCATTGCCATAGAATATAGAAAGGAGTAGATGGGATCTCTGAATTTTTCCCTTTTCAACTTGTATTCTCTTCACTAGTTTGCTCTCTTGTGATCAGTAGGTGAGGACAGAAAGGTTGATGGCTTCTTAGTTCTTCATATTTGATATTTAGTAAATATAGAACATGCTAAGGGTCGGTTTGGTGCAGCTTCCCAAGTGCTTCAGCTTTTTGACACTATTCATGTTTCATAAGTTTAAATTTCCCTCCTAAAAACTTACATTTTAAAATATTTTTTTAACCTTAAAAAAACCCTAAACAGTAAAAGATCAAAAGCTTCAAATTCAAGCTTTTCATAAACTTCCTTTTTACTCACTTTTTACTTACTTTTTTCTATCTCTAAAGGTAACTTTTAAATTTTCTAAATGACAGCCCAGACAAAAAAAGCAATTAAGACAGCCCAGACAAAATAACCCGGGTAACTTTTTACTCATGAATAGTACAAAAAAAGCAAAAGCTCCAACAAGCTGCACCAAACAGGCCCTAAATCCTCAGTATAAATAGAAAGAACTCAGGATTTAGACTTTTCTGTGTGTTCTGTCTGTTAAAATTTTAAATGTTAACCAAGTTTAGATTATGTAGCCTCCAATCAAGTACCTAAATTCCAGTTCCCTTACAGGGATGCAAAACCTCCCCCCACCCCTTAGGAGGTGGACTTTAATTGATACAATTCAGTTTTTTGGTTGGGTATGTTACTTTCTTGAGTGTCAACTCTTAATATTTATATGTTTTAATCTTTTTCATTTTTTTGTCAAATATGTTACACAAAGTATCAGTTTGCTGAAATTGACAATGTCAGTTGTGTCTGGTTTTCTAAATGATTTTCAATTCTGAAAGTGGATTCATTCTGTTAATGCTGAGAGGCCAGCCCAATGGAACTGCTCAAAAATTACTGGGGTGTGTGTTGTGTACGCCACCATTCATTTTGGTTGTCTGATTTCATTCTTTTCACTTCAAAATGTCACTGTCAACAACTTTTTAACTTGAGAGCTTACATTCATATGTAAAAAGTTCAAAAGTAGAAGATTAGGATGTTTTAATCACTAGCAGGCCACAGCAGACTAACCCCATACATGATAGCCTTCTATATAGGACCATGGTTACATTTTGTTTCCTAAAAATCTTTCCTAATTGTTCTCTCCTAAATGTTGCATTCATCTGCCAATGGTGTTTTACATCTAAAACAATATCTCTTGTTTAATCTCATGACTCAAAGAATCTAAGGTAGTTGGTCATTCATTGCATGCCTTAAACAGGGCATTTGCACCAGCTGTTCTGGATAAAGATGTATTTGGTTTCCAAACTCTGCAACATATGATGTGGATGACCCGTACCTGGGACTCAACCATGTCAATGATACCAAAAGGTGGAGAGACAATATGGGGTGGTGTTGATTGGTCACCTGAAGGAGGCTTTAAATGTAATGGAAAAAAGTTGAAGAGCAATAATACCTACCATCAAAGTGCAAATGGGAGTTTTGTTAACATGGAGAATGTGAATTATGGTAGAATTATATCATTTGGGAAAGATGTTGCTGAATTACATTCTTCCCAGGTTGAGAGGGTCGATTTCAGGGTAATGTACAATTTAGAATTTAGCTACTTTCCATAGAAAAAGGTTGTTCCATTTGTGGCTTGCACTTGGATGTAACTAATTAGTTTATCAGCAGGATGCTGTGAAGGGCAATGCAGTCGCAAACACAAGCCGTTGTGATGTGTGGACAGAATACCATGAATTAGGCACTGAAGGTATAAGAGCCGTTGCTGATTACAAAATGTACACTGCTGGATCAATTTTAGATCTGCTTCATTTTGTTGCCCCCAAGTTGATGGCACGGGGAGGTGCACATTTTTCACATGGAATTGCTGATAATTTGGATGACCCAAAGTATGAACACTACAAATATTGGTCAAACCCCTTAGAAACGAAGTAAGATTCTTCTCTCAGTTACACTTAGTGATCTGCTTATACTCTGATGTATTAAATCCATGGTATCTCCTGGAAACCCTTAAAACTTTATGATCCAAAATATTAAAGGTACACTATGATTATCAAAACCGTTTTCTTTTCCACACCCTCCCCACCAGGGTTTGACAAATAAGATATCATGTTGTTTGTGCAGGTTACCAAATGCTCCAGACATGGAGATTTATTCAATGTATGGCGTCGGAATGCCCACAGAAAGAGCATATGTCTACAAATTAACTCCTGCTGCTGAGTGCTATATTCCCTTTCAGATAGATACCTCAGCAGAAGGTGCAAGCGAACATTCTTGTCTAAAAGGTGGGGTCTTCTCTACTGATGGAGATGAAACGGTCCCTGTGTTAAGTGCAGGTTTCATGTGTGCAAAAGCTTGGAGAGGAAAAACCCGATTCAACCCTTCAGGCATCCATACTTACATCAGAGAGTATCCTCATGCTCCACCAGCTAATCTACTGGAGGGACGAGGAACCCAAAGTGGTGCTCATGTTGACATAATGGGGAACTTTGCATTGATTGAGGACATCATCCGAGTAGCAGCTGGGGCTACTGGAGAGGACTTGGGTGGAGATCGAGTTTATTCCAACATTTTTACATGGTCAGAAAAGATTAACTTACAGCTCTAAATCAACTTACAACGCATTTGGCTTGCATTTGAATGCAAGAAACAGAATGAATATCCGAAATGAGTACAGGGCAAGAAGATTTATTGTGCACTTGAAATCCCTCTTTGTTTAGTGAAGCTACTTATCAGGTGTGAGGATAACTGGAAATTGGCATTCCACGTACTGGCTGGCCGCATCTTCAGTTACTGGAGCACCGGGAAACCCAGCACTGACATCTTTTCTTTCTCTTTGTAGTTTTGTATTGATTGATTTTGAGTACCGGCAAATATCAATATATATATATATTTCTATTTCTATTTTTTTTTCTCCAGCTGCCAATTGTCTTTCCTTGGAGATACAGGTTTGAAGGAATCTTATGAAGGTACCAAGCAGTTACTAAATAGAACTGCAGCCTGCTGATAAATTATTGAAGTATTTATTTATGGATTTTTTTATCTATGCCCTAAGGACTTAAGACACAAATAAGAGTACGATAAATATATTTTTTTTAAAATTAACTTTTATTAAAAATATAAATATTAATTTTGATTTAATCAATTAATCAATTAAAATCATTCATATGTGAATGATGTTAAAATATATGTGAATTTTTATAATTTTTAACGTAAATTAATTACAAAAAATATATTGATGATATCTTTAATATGTGTCATTAGGGTTGAGGTTAGACAAATCCTTTATTTATTTATTCTGTGAAAGGATTGGCAACGAAAATCAACCGGTAAAGTAGATTCCTCTTTACATCAGAAGTTACTTGTTTAACTATTTCATTAAAAACCGATTACTAATTCATTGAGCTCTTTGTTGAAAAGTTGGTACAAATCAAGTGAACTACCGTATTGTGTGGACTCATTGTAGAAGCAGCATTCGTAATGAACCTAGTAGCTGTAATTTCATTTTTATAATCTGGAAGGTTGAAGTTCTCCAACTTGAGGTAAGTGTGGAAAAGGAGATACACTTTGTGGTTAGTGTGGAAAAAGAGGTGTGTGTGGAGAAAAAGCTGGTGAGGGTTGAGAAACTAACCTCCTAACTTGCCAATGATCAAGTAGTAATTTTTGTCAAATAAGATATCTTAAATTTTAGTTATAAATATATAAGTATAGTTTTTAAACAGATGACAAAAAGTTTCTTTATTTTACAACTCAAAATCAAACAAGTTTACAATCAAAAGTCCTAAGTCTTAACCCCATTAGTGTTTCATTTTTTTTTTCCCATTTAAATAAACATGTTACTTCCCTTTGCAAGAAAAGAAAAGAAAACTCAGCACAAATGAAAAGGAAATGACTTTGGATTCTACTCTAAATTGGACCATTATTCATTGCTTGCGAGACCTAAACTGGTTTGGTAATTATATGGTTTGCCATATAGGAATATTAACTTGACTTTCATTTGGAACGTAGAAAAACTAAGCTTTGCGGGGTAATAATGAAATTCCAAGTTTGGTTAAAGATTAGGATTATCAATCGAAGAAACAAAGGCCAATTCTCTTATTTGCTGTCCGTTTTTTGCCCAAGTTTTATTGGATGTCTTGTTGTGGGGTAGGGTTATGGCACCAAAACCGTAAATATTGTCTTTAAAAATATTTATTTTGTTTAATTTGATTGATAAAAATTATTAATTATTGTAATTATTAATTAATAACTGATAGAATAATTTATATTTATTAGTTAGCAAATTAAATTTAATCAATAAATTGATATTTTTAAGCATTCTTTAAAAAGAACTAAAATTTTGATGGCTTGAACATTCTTTATAGTGACAATAACTACACTCCACAAAAATATTACAAATGTGTTTGATTTAACTGTCAATAAGAGTTAATAATTGTAAAGGTCAGCTAATAATTTATAAAATTAAAAAAATATTTTATAATTCAAATTGTTTCAAACTATAAAACACTGATCTTTTGACGGAAGAGGGTTCCTTGATGTTAGGGTTTTCCTCCATCAATGGGTTTTTATTTTATAAGTTAAAACAGTACAAAGTATAAAATAATGTACTATCATAAAATAGTCAATATTTATTATTTAATAATTTAAAATCAATATAAACACTGATATTTTCAAACATATTAATCAATTATAAGTTGATAAAATCAATCAAATTCAAAATACCTATGCTCCTAACAAATATTAGTGTGGCATGCATAACCATCCCTTGATGTGGTTCTTCTTTCTCTTTTTTAAAGAAATAGAGAATATATGCAGACGGAATAAATTACCATTACAATGGCGAATAAACAACTTAAGTCTAATGAATTAAGTGGTTTGTTAATAATTCTTTACAATGAATATAATAAATTTTGATTTTAAGTTCTAGATACGTGGTTGGATGGATAAGATGTGAGTGGAATTGCCTTGATTGCGATTTTTTATTCCCCATTTTCTTTTTTATGTTCACAAATCTAAATCTTTTTAAGTTCATAAATCATTCAACCATTAAGGCATGTTTTTATTTCATTTTACATTATTGTTTCCTTCTCAAAAAGTTCATTAGAATTGCGAATGAGTCTTGGTCTGGGATGGAATTGGAAAATGTGTGGAAAAAAGGTTGCCTTTTGTTGTCCTCCATCTCTAAAAGAAAAAAATCTCCTTTAATCTAATTTATTTTAAAACACATCCAAGGGTTTTTATACCCATACAGTTTAGTTCCCTTGTTTTTACTTTTTTCAACTTGACATATGCATTCCCAGTTCCATTCAGTTAATCCCAAAACTTTCAGTTTTCATTTTCATGCTTATGTTTGTTTATTTAAGGACACTAACTTATAGAGACATTTATAAGTAAAAATAAATTCTCTAAATTTAATGTATGCAGCTGTGTTTAACATGAAAGATTATGAGGCAAACAAATACATTTCTTCATTTTTACTCGAACCCGAATCCAAATCTTTTACAGATCATGGTAACTTATTCCATTGTTTTAGCAGATTGCGACTCTAATTTTTTCAATTATTAAAACTTAATTTTTAAAATTTTCATTTAAAAAAAAAATTAAATAGAGCATCAACTAAACTAAAGAAGATTAACTTTTTTCTCATGAGTTATGTTACTATTTTTTTTTTTTTTTTGAAGAACAAATAGGATCTGTTAACTTATATTGAAGAAGATTAATTTCTGACTTTTGAGAAATTAATTACAATGTAGAGGAAAGGAAAAGTGCTGTGTTAGACGTTGTATTGCTATTAGAACTGAAGAAGTTTAACTTCTAACTACACGTAACTACATAAAAAGTTGTCTGGGGAACATAATGGTTAAGATTGTTTTCTTCCTTTTCCATTTTCCTTCCTTGCAGATCATTATGTTGGGTTGAGCACATATCACTGGACAACGAAATTGGGCTTGACCCTCCTGGAATAAGGGTCAGGCCTGTATCTAGACCTGTAGCAGTTAATTACTTTGCACCAGGTTATTTTGTCTGGGCCTTCTTAATGGCTAATTAGGATATGAGGAGAAAACAATGTATGTATGGCTGCATATGATTGGAGACTACCTCTCCAGAGCACAGAGGTATAATTTTGCTTCATTTCTTC